ATTAAGGGACAATTTTGTTTTCATGACTTGCTGAAAACTTTACCAGAACTGAAAAGTGAACTTAGGGTCCTTGTCGGATACTACTGTTATTAGCACTCCATGTAACCTGACTATCTCTCGGATATACATTTTTATTAACTTGTTCAAGAGGTCGGTCATCTTGATTGCTAAGAAGTTAGAAGACTTGGTGAGCCAGTCAATAATTACCCAAATGTTATCATGTTTCGAGCGTGCCTTAGACAATCCTATCACAAAATCTATTGTGATATGTTTCCACTTTCACTCTGAAATTGGTAATAGCCGAAGTAGCCCGCCCGGGTGTTGATGTTCTGTCTTAACTTACTGACATAACAAATACTTAGAAACAAAGTTGGTCACCTCTCTTTTCATCTTGTTCCACAAAAATCAGGGTCGCATACTTTGATACATCTTAGTACTTCAAGGATGCATGGCAAACTTTGAGTTATGAGTCTTTGTCATGATATATTTTTTCAGCTCACTGTCATATGAAACACACACCCTGTCTTAAAATCTATGCAACCATCGGCAGAGACTCAAAATTCTGAATTTACTTTCTGTTCTGCATCTTTCTTGAGGGTTATTAAGGTAGAATCGACGGATTGAGCTTCCTTTATTCTCTATATCAACCAGGTTGAACAGTCAGGTGGACCAAGTATGTAACTCTCTTCAGGTACTAAAGTCGTACATATTGTGCGACCCCATTTACCCTGCATTCTGAAACTATTAGGTGAGGTAATATATCTGCACTATTTCTGCTGAGTGCGTCGGCTACCACGTTACCCTTATCCGGGTGATACAAGATGTTATAATCCTAGTTCTTGAAGAGTTCTATCCATCTGCCCTGACGCATGTTGAGATTCTTTTGAGTGAATATATGATTTAAACTCTTATGGTTGATATTAATCTCGACCGTACAATCGCGTTTAAAGAATAAATAAATCTGGACCGTTCATTACGTTTAATTGCGACTGTCCGATCGCGCTTGATGAGGGAACGAATCCATACAGTACACCCGCGTAGGAACGTATCTGTTCTGTCCGATCATGGGCATGCGAATTGCCAGCGTGGCCTCCCGCATGGCACCGAGTCAGTATGCTCCGGTTTGTCAAGACTGCTGACCGGGTGGTGCTATGTGTCGTATTTTTTTTAATTATATTTTAACCCACAGTTTCTGAGTTTTATTTCAAAAATATCATCTGAACCCAAATTTTTACCTTTTTTTTTCCAAAAGTGTTTTCAATTTCATCATCTACCTATTTTTTCTAATTTTACATTAAATAAATATTTATAAATTTAAAAATTATATTTTTATATATTTTTTTTAATTTTAAAATTAATCCCGAGCTAAATTTCGGATCCGAGTATTACAATAGTTCATATATAAAACTTCTAACTGTTGAGTGATGACCAACTGACATCTATTTTTTATCCTTATGATTGGATGGATAATATTTCTTACTAAGTTTAAAGTGATTGGTTAAAAGTGTACTAAATTTAACATTGTTGGTATTGAACTTGTTTAAGACTCTTTTGATACACTTCTTGCGACAACCACAACTTCTTTGTTTTTCTGTCACAAGTTTTTGCATACCCAAATTTTTTTGTATTTAGTATAAATATTTCATATCAAAAGAACTAAATAAGTTCCATTTCAAACTAGTAATATCTATAGTATCATACTCTATTATTAAGATATCACCAATATAAAGCGAAAATGATAAAAAATTTATAATTAAGTAATAATCTGAAATAAACACAACGGTCTGTAGCTAATCTGATACATTCATGACGCATCATAAAAGAAACAAATTTCTTAAACCACTATCCAAAGCTTGTTCTTAAATCCATATAAGTGTTTGTTTAACATGCAAACCATGTATTCTTTATCATTACTTTCAAAACCATATGGCTAAACCATGTAGATCTCTTCATCTTAATCATTATAGGGAAATACAATTTTCATATTTAACCACTCAATGTCAAGATCAAAGCTAGTTATCAGTCTAAGAATTATTTTAATGAATTTATCTTTACAACTAAAAAAAACAATCTTATCAAAGTTAATTCTCTTTTTCTAATTAAATTCATTCACCATTAAACAAGTTTTATACTTGAAAATCTTGTCACATTCTTTCTTCAACCTCAACAATCCATTTATTTTTTAAGAGCTTCTTAACTTTTGAAAGTTTTACCAACTCATAAGTATTATTCTTCTTCAAGGAATTCATCTCTTTCTGTAGGGCTTTTATCCACTAAGTTTCTTTTCTCATGAGTTTGAACTTCTTTAAAGCTTTGTGACTCTCGTTTTTTGTAAGAATAATATACTTAAAATTAAGATGTATTATAGATGTTGTTGGGTCTCTAGAAGATTTTCTAAGCCAAGATCCTATAACTTAAGGTGGAGAGGGTTGCTCGCTCACCTAGAATCATCTTCCTGTGCATAGTCATCACTACTTGCTTAGTTTCAATCTCATGTTTTTCACTTTCCTCTTTCATATGTGATATACTTAATTGTTGGTGAATAATCAATTTTAATAACGTGTTTATCTTCTTAGTTGCATATGATTCATGTAGAATTTTGTGCTCTTGAAACACTACATCTCTAGATTTGAAAAAATATATATTTTTTTATTACATCTTATAATTTGTACTTGAACTCTGCATTTTCGTGATCCAGAAAAATACATAGAGTAGTATTGTCATCAAGTTTTTGTCTCCACTCTTTAGGTACATGCATGAGGTACATGCATGGAAGCTTTGCAATCAAATATCTTCAATTGAGAGTATTAAACTTCTTTTTATATCCAATATCTCTTAGGGATGTCATAATCTAAAAGGACATTCATATGCATGCAGTAGGAAAAGCTTCACCCTAAAATGTTTTAGGTTGGTTAACTATTTTGAGCACATATATGACATTCTTAATGATTATTTGATTTATTTTCTCATACACACTATTATGTCATGGAGCGGTAGAAACTATATATATATATATATATATATATATACACATATATATTTCTTTTTGTACATAATGTGGACTGTATCCATTTGACAAAAATATTTATGTTCTTCATGCTTTGTTGTCTCAAATTAAACCATCATTAAGTTATTTCTATATGTATA